GGAAACTCCCCTTAAGAACAGAGGTGTTATGCCTACAAGAAGATCTCTGTCTCTTTTGGAATAGATGCATATATGCAACAATGCAGATTTAATATCTGGTTACCTCAACACTGACATTTCTACATAATAGTCATATTCATCATGAAAAAACAAGCTCTGAAGAAAATGTATATGGATTCCTACATTTAGTAATGGAAAAACGTTTAGACCAGCTACTCTATGGAAAGCTATTAGCTGATATTTGGCCAACAGAACACTTTCAAGGTTTGTCCTGATCAATCATAGCCAATACAGAGGGAGTGGCAAATTTTGGTTTGTATGCAAAGAACAAAGAGGTAGACATTTTGTCTTTGTACATAATAATGGAATACAAAGGCAAACAAGAGAGCTATGACTCGAAATGTGCATATAGCACTTGCTAGAAACACCTTAAAGCATCTGCATCTTTTCCTGGGGCTTGTGCAGTTGCCCTTTTCCAACTGACATACAACTTTGGGAAAAGACATATTTAGTTCAAGGTGTTCCTGACAGGCAGCACCTTGTACCCATATATGTGAAGGCTCAAATTTTATATTTCAAATCTGGATCTTCGCACTCATAGTGCACAGTTTGACTTATAAACATATAGACATATAGACAATACTGGATTATGAAATGTTGATAATATGACATATTCATTTATTCTGCATAGAAGAATATGACTACATACTTACAGAGTACCAAATTTCTAGTAATGTTGGTGAATCATTACCAATATAAAATCTAGGATTCTGCAGTAATCCAGATACAAATGGAAAGAGATGATTTAGCATGCACATGGTGAGCATTTGCTGGTAATATCTCATAGTGTCTAGATCACATGAGCTCAGGAAAAAATCAGAGATTCTTTAAAAAGTTTTCCCTATGTGCTACATGAAGACATGCATTCTAAATCACCTTTTACTTTTCAAATCCATACTTTTTACTTTGCACATTTGTAACAAATTCTTCTGGAATTGCATCCATTTGGATATTTTTACATCCCTTTTGGTCTCACGGCTGCCAAGAAAGTAATCTTATAATACAAATAAAGCAAACTTTTAAAATAATATTTTAAAGTAGAGAAAAAATATCTGTAAACATCTATTAGAGTGAGGCAGTGGAATGATGAAAAGCAAAGTGGAGCAATCTGTGAGATGATACAAGAAAAACAAACCCTTATTTATTAGGAGGATGTAGTCACAAAATCAGATGCAGAAAAATAAAAACAAATACTGTTTAAAGCAACAGTTTATGTAAGAGTTGGTTCAAATGTATATTTTAAAATAAAGTCAAAGATCTATCAAACAGAAAAGAAAGACTAGGTTGAACCAATGAGGCCTATGACTCATTTTCCAGCCTTCAGCCACTGATTAGCAATAGGGAGTCCATGTGATTTAGTAATTATTTATTTTTATATATTAAATTTATATGCCACCCATCTTCCTAAGAGGTGTTTAAGGTAGAATACCTAAGTTCTTGTCTTCCACTAGGCAAGAAACCAGCTGTGATTTGGGGCCAGGCATGCTTTGTTGGCCTGAGACTGAGAAATTGAAAAACATCCTTTAGTAAGCAATGGCAAACTACTTCCAAAAATGTTGCTAAGGAAACTGCATGGACCTGTCCATTAAGTCACCAAGAGTTAAGACTGACTTGAAAGAACTAAATAAATAATTTTATTTTCATAATTTTATACCCTGAATTTCTGTTTCAGTGATCACTGAAGGCAACAACATTCTGAACAGGAATAGAAAAAAATAAAATTGTAGATTAAAGGTAATATAAAATAAATATCAAAAATGTCCAACACAAAGTACAATCTTTATAACCAGACACTTGTTAGAATAAAATGTCTTTACACACAGGAACTCTTCAGTTCCTTGAAAAAAAGTGTAGAATTGAATTGTTATAACAAATACATGGAGGGTAATTTTTGAAAGTCATTTGGATTATTATTTAATTATTATTTAATTATTAATTATATTTAATATATTGTTAATATATTAATATTATAGTATATAAATATATTTCTGATATAATATAATTATAATACATAATTATAACTAATTATAGTAATAACTTAATTATTATTATTTTAAATAATAGATAATTGTCCTTCAAGCAATTTCCAGTGATAGAGTTGTAATTTGCTTCCTATGGGAATCTAAAGATTGCTTTTGTTTCATTGATCAAGAGAGTTTTGCAGGTATTCAAAAGTCAAAACAGCATATAGATTATGTGTCTTTGATGTACAGAACATCTTAGTAGGTCAGATGCAGCACACAATTAATAGTCTTGAAGAGCAAAATATGAAAAGTAATCATGTGGTGAAGAAAAAGAAAAAAGCAATATATCACTGTTGTTTGAAATAGTGCTTCAATAGTTCTCTTGCTAACAACTTATCCTTTTATAATCAACTTCTAGCATTGAACATAGTTAGGTGTACCAAAAGGGCAAAGTAACAAAAGCGAATAACAACAACCTGCCTCCAGAAGTGATGAATGCTCCAACACTGGAAGTTTTTAAGAAAAGACTGGACAGCCATTTGTCTGAAATGGTGTAGGGTTCCTGCCTGAGCAGGGGGTTGGACTCGATGACCTCCAAGGTCCCTTCCAACTTTATTACTACTACTACTACTACTACTACTACTACTACTACTACTACTACTACTACTACAACAGCAGTCCTGATACAGCACCCATTCAGTCCATTACTACCTTCAGATGGAGTCCATGACTTTATAAGACAATCTGTTGCATTGTTAAATAACTCTTACTGTCCCCCAAACATGTGCAATGTTTAATTTAATTTTCTTTTCTTCTAATCTGAATTCACTGGTTTAATATTTTATTTGAAGGTAATTTCTTATAGTGAAAACCATCAACATCAAAAACTGTGCTGAGATTGCAGCCCCTTAAATTCCCAGAAAACATTGAATTAAATTGGGATTTCCTGATAATACAGGGCCAATGTACCTGGTCTGCAAAAATCCAGGCAAAAACTAGTTAGCAGCAAAGTGATACAAAATAAATCTCAATCATTGGTGCTACCTAATAGATATTCAGGGTTTTTGTAGCCTGGATACGATGATACTAGCATTTACAATGGTTCTTCAGGAAAAGGGCCACCTATATTAGTGTCTCTCACCTGGCCTTTCCTCTGCCTAATAGCATTCAAGAGAACTAAATGCTTATGCCTGCTTTTAATAAGTGTAGTAATGCTAGTCTCTCTGCTGACTCCCATTTTCTTAGCAGCTTACTATAGGCCTGCATGCTACTTTATAATATGTGGCTACTTTTTATTACTTCTTAAAGATAAATATGCCTGTTTGCAGCCTAGATGTTAGGCTGCAACACAGGGCAGATGTTAGAATGCTCAGACCTTCTCTTCAGCCACAGTTTTCTCCACATCCTTGTCTTTTAGGGTTTAAATACATCTAAAAACTTTAAAACCAATGCATGCATGGATAGTTGTAATGTTTATTTCAGAAGTGGCTACAGACAAGTAAAATTAACATTATTGGGGCCCTGAGCATCTACTGTATGTTTAAGGAAAAGCTAAACAAAACAAGACAAAAAGGTCAGTGACATGTTGTACAGTTAAAGTAATTTAACTTTAAGACCCAAGCAAGATGCACCTGGGCATCTTTACGAATCAGGGATAAATATCCAATCAGCATACTGTAGGTAGCAAAAGAAGAGAAGCCTGTTGTCCTTTTCACTTCCTTTTCTGGATCAAGTCTTTCCCCTCTCCCCACCCTCCAACAAAAAGGCTGAATTATCAAATCTCTGATGATGTATGCAGCAGGAACAGTAGCAATAGGTCAGCAATACAGAAGTCGAAGTACATGACTAATATAAAATTTGTTAAAGATAAAAGTGGAGTGAGTGGTATGTTGCAGTCAATAAATAGATCATAACAAAGAAGGAACAAAAGCCTGGCAGGATATATGGATAGATATCTTGACTTTAAAAAAATCAAGTTCTATTTCAAAAGCACTCAAGTTGCTGTAGGAAATAGGCTTAAAAGATTTGGAACCTGGAGTTGCAGGAGCAAAAGTTCAACCCTGATGATTGCAGGCCTGCTGCTGAAAGAACAAGGGCAAAGAGCTAAAAGAAACATGAAATATATGACTGTTCAAAGTCTAAACATTGTACCACATTTACCATCAAAATCAAATTTTAGTGAAATATATTGGATGAAATTCTTGGATAGCTGTGATTTAGACCTCTTTTGTTTTTGCATTGAATACTCTTATTCTCCAAGGCTGTCCCAAAACATGTTTGGTTTCTATGGCAGAATTTAAATGTCACCCTTTTCCACACCTACAGACAAAAATGAGATGTAATACCCTGGGAATTTGCCTTTCCAGTCACAAGTATAAAATTAATGGAAGTTGTGCAACTGCATTACCAGATCCTTGCATAATTCTCAATTATTTCAAAGAAAAACTTCCTGGTGGTTTGAGTAGATCTGTCTTCCAGTTAAATCCTTTAATTGTGCCTAATACCCACTTCATTTTATTTCACACTAAGGACACCTTCCATTATCTTTTCTTATCCATATCATGATTTATTTATTTATTTATTTATTTATTTATTTATTTATTTATTTATCATTCGTTAGTTTTTCAAGCCACTTAAGACAATGTACTTAGCACTTCCTCTTCTAAATTTCTCCCACAATGAAAACCTTTGAGGTCAATTGTGTTGAGAAAGAGTAAATGGTTCACAGCAACCTTAAGCTTTGATGATTAACAGCAGACATGAACCTTTGATTCCTCTTACTCTAGACCAAAGTGTCAGAGTTGATGCAAGTTCTAGAAGATGAAGTATAAAACATTGGTAGAGCAACAGTTTGGGAGTGGATTTTTAGCATATGTGAAATTCAGATTTATATGGCAAGTATAATACATACATTTTCAACCTCATCATTAAAGCATGGGTCTGAATAAAGAAGCCGGCTTTTTGCGCCGATCTTACCTGTCCTATACCCTGTGTTATTGAGGTATACTGCAAATGTGCGAATTTCATGCTGAGCTTGCCAGGACGGAGACGAGCAGTTTTCATTGTTGGTGTAGGTGTTGTGATTGTGGACATATTTCCCTGTAAGAATAGAAGAGCGGGATGGACAGCACATGGGTGTCGTCACAAATGCATTGATGAAGTGAGCACCTCCCTGTTCCATAATCCGCCTTGTTTTATTCATCACTTGCATTGAACCTGAAGAAAGACAAACAATATCATGTAGAAAAAGACAAGTTTTATCAGATGTAGAAGTTTCATCCTAAGTATCAAGTCAAAGGAGCCAATCACGACAAAGTCATTTAAGCAAGGGAAAATTGGTGACACATTTGTTATTATTCCTGTAAAAGTATACATTTATTGAAAGCATTGATATTTTAAGTTCTTTGAAGGTTTAACAAACAAACCCAAACAATCCAATATTAATATTCAAGCTAACAGTATGCTACAGAAATAGCACAACAGCCATATCAGTTCCTAACTGTCAGCAAGTTAAGCTTTAAGATTTAAATCTAAAGAAGCATATCAGACACAAAGAAAAAAACTAAAGAAACAAAACAAAATAATCAAGCAGGACAATCTCAACAGATAGGGCTATTCTGTTTCCTGAAATGTGATTTCATAGATAAGATTCATTATCACTGTGAATCGTTAGTGACTATATAAATAAATCTATTTTAAGATGATCTGTCTCCAATCTGGTCCTTCACATCTTCACTTCCTGATCAAGTAGTAGAAATATTTGCTCACATTCAAGCACATGCAAGGAAAATGCCCTTCAGATTTTTTCATTTAACAAAGATCAACTATTGAGCAAGAGAAAGGTCATGTCCATCCCCATTTCCAGCTCTTATACATACTATAGCCAAAGAAATTGGTACAATTAAAACCCGTGCCTCTACATTAATTAAGCACCATTGAGTTCATGGTGAATGACTATCTATGGAACTCTTAAATTATAAACTAAAAATAATTAATAGACTATAAAAATGTTCATCATTGATTATTTCCTATGATTTCTAGGCCACAATTGTTTGATTTATAGCAGTTGTACTTCAAATTTTAATTTGTCCTAAAGATTTTTACAAATGCATGTGGTTGATTAGAGTTTCTATCTTCAGTATGGTATACAAATTACTGATAAAAGGAAGAGTTCATTTCCAAAAGAGTACATTTGCAATGGCAGTGAAGAACTATTTCTCAACCGGTTGTTCATCTTTAGATATATTATACAAAATATCCAGACCAAAAAGGAATTCATGCACATACACATTTTGAATTTCATTTGCCTAAGCTCTTTTTTTTCAAACCTCAAAATAGACTACAAGATGAAAGTTATAAACTTTGGAATTTCCAAATGATTTCTCAGCAGCAACAGACATTGAAAACAGACAATAGGTATAAACCAGTACATCCTGAATATAAATTGAGTCCCATCTGCTATACACAATTATTACCCAAATGCAAATTAGAGGAGGGGCCATTAATTATAGTGATACCCAGAAAAATTCATGTGAAGAATTTGCAATGGAGGAAACAGCTGAAAAGGATCTTCCTGCACTTTTTATTAGATACTATGTTATTAACTTATTTACTCTGCCTTCTTGGAAAAAAAGTACTTATCATCAAATTAATCATACAATAGAAAGTAATTTCTGAAATGAAATATATTAAGTCCATGTTATTTTTTACTGATTTGTTGTGTTTTAGATACTGCCAGATTCAATACAATTTTTCCCATTGTTTTACAGTATAAATACATAATAAAAATGTTTATGTACTTATGTACTTATTTTCTGTTATTCCATCCTCTCTTTTAAAAATGCAGTAGACATTTTAGGTGAAATTTTATAATTAATTAAACTATTAAAAGGTTAATCTCATAATCTTATGAGTTCTGCCTCCTTCCTCTTAATGAATCCAGGTTTCATCAATCTTTTGTAATTCTGTTATTAAAACATAATTTTAATAACCCTTTTAAATGACAAGGGCATTTTAATTGAAATAATAGTACGTGTTATATCTCCCCTTGCGGACACTAACTTCTTTTAATAAATCCGCTGTAATGACAAGATCCTATAGATAAACAGTCTTTAGTTCAGAAACCTATAATCTCTTTCTAGTTTGAGAACTAATCCAAAGGGAAGATTAGTGAAAGGTAAACATTCCCTCTTGTTACAATGCTAAATAGACTGGCTTTAAATATTTTAAAACAATGGCAACTCATCCAACAAAAACTTCCTTCCTTTATCCTGTCTCCCAAGACAAGTGATGCAAGAGGAAATAAGATCTCCCAAACAACTGATTTCATTCCTTTTGTGGAACATCATTACTTATCTGTTAATTGGACACACTAAACTAAGCAAAATATTTGTCTCTGAAGGAGAAAAACTATTCCAGACAGTTTAACAGTTACGTTGCAATGTTTAGTAGTAATGTTATATTTAAACCATATTTATCTTTGTATATCATGAAAAAATGGACATCACATAAGATTAATAGAACTTAAATGATCCAGACATTCTAAATTTGCTGGGATCTTCTAAAATATTTATTCAGGTATTTGGGTAAATCAATGGTATTATGGGACTCTGTAGGAGATTAAAAGCTGCTTCAAGCTTCTGTAATCACATCAAATTTGCTGTGTTTGAGATCTGAGCAAATTTTTACTCAACTGTTTTGGTTTCTTAACTTAAATAACCTGCCTTATCACTCCTTCTGGCCCCCAATCTCCTAGTCTTTCAAGAAGAAAGATTGCTTGATCCTTTTCAGCTTCCCATCATAGGAATCTCTTAATTTCTTTGTGAATGACCACAACAAATGCATACAACATATGTATGGATAGGCATGTGTATCCAATTAACTTTCTTTTCTTTTTGCACGTAGTGTGGAACTAGGCAAGATGCATTTTTTCTTATTTCAGGAAAATGTTGGAAATTTGGGGTGGAGTAGGAATTCAATTTTATTTGTTTTCATTATTTTGAGGTTGGCCCAAATGGAAATTTCAAGGTTGTCTTCAAAATGTTTTTAATGCATTGGAATACACTGGAATGGAAGCAGTGCCAATATGCAAGGGCTGATGTTTGGTCTCTTGTTCCCTATAATATATTACACTAGGTAACATAGATATATTACACTGGCTTTTTGTTCTGTAAAGTGGAAGAACAAGAAATTTTCTATAAAGCGATTAATGCCTTATAGACATGAAAAGTTTCTACATCAGTCTTGCTATCAAACACATTTACAATACATTGAAACTTGTTTATGTATACATATATAGTACATATTCTCTCACTCAATCCTACAATGCAAATTCTCCATAAAGAGAAAACATGGTACATATGTCTGTTATACAAATCTTATTCTTTTATTGCAGATCTCAAAGAAAGATAAGAGTTATACACTGAAATCTCTATCTACTACTTAATTCTGTGAACTCCTATAGAGTTCTGTCTGACTATTTTAGGATCTTGGGAGGCATTTTCCATATATTCTTGCAGTCTTAATAGCAAGAAACTTGGCTTAGAAGCAAAGGGAAAAAAATTTAGAAGCTGAATTATAGAGCAGGGTATTTACAGGGGTCACCCTTCTGCCCATTTTGTTAACATGCCTGTTCTGTTTTTCACCACTTTTAGTCTGGAAATGACGAACGGTCAAACAGAAACAAAGAAATTTGCTTTGCTTTAGTTGTAATCCATTTCCAGCTGTTATAGTTTGTTAGCAATTACAAATTACATAAAAGAAAAACTTTCTCTATGAAAGATATATTTTGCAACATGGCAATTAATTGTAGAAGCTCTGTATTTTTCTAGACAAACATAATAGGAACTTACCAAATTTCTGACTTTCTTACCAAAAGTCTGAAAATGTCTGGATTTGATTTGGGAGACAGAAATTTAGCATGCAATCACTAAGAGGATCAGATAGCCCTCAGGATATAAAATTCTCAGATTTTTCCCAGTCCCACTTTTCAGTGTAATCTGAGCATATTTAATTGGTATGATTTCTAACTTATGGAAAGCATTTCATACATTACAAAAAGAAAAAAAGAAAACCTTTTGTGCAATACAGATTTAATGGATATGTGATACATTACAACCTATAATACTAATTATTGACCTCCATTAAGCTGCATTTTTCACCAGGTTGCTTTTTATTAGCAGAAATCACACCATTAACACCAACTCTTGAAGAATCTGAACTGAATGAATGAATTCTGGAGAATAGAAACTAGTAGTTTTATTATATATAATATATAATAAAATTGAAGTTTTATTATACATATCAATATCAATAAATTATATAAATAAATATAATTATATTATAAATATAAATATTATATATATATATTATTACATAAAATACACACACACACACACACACACACACACACACACACACACCAATGCAAAACTATGCTAATGGCAATCTAATACATGAAACATCAACATGTAGCTGATATAGAAGTTTGTATAAGTTTAATGCCTAAACAGAAGATGGGGGAATCTATACCTTTGGAGCTCTTTTCAATCATACCAATCCTAAACAAATTTCTGGAGCATTTTTGGGGGGTTTACTGCAAATATAAAGTAAATCCTATATATTTTTTTAAAAAATAAGTGCCTATAAAATCTAAAAAATATCCTTAATTTTTTTTAAAAAAAATAAAATATCAAAATCTAAATTTTTTTGATGTGTGTGATGTACAGAAGCAGCAAATATCAGGAGTTGATGTCTTTCAACTATGTGCACACTCATCCATCACTTCTGTGGCCCAGTTCTGAATGGACTGTGGCCTGGCACTGGGTCATGGCCTGGAGGTTGGGGACCCTTCATATACTGTACAGTATATTGGTGTGCTATTTGTAGAGGACAAGGCTTGAAGAATGCTTTTCTAATTGTAGATTATTTATACATATATTTTAGGAGTTATTGGCACAGCATTACTATACTGAACAATGCCTGGTGCCCTAACAAACATTGGGCAAGCCTTTCAAAGGTTTAAAGAATATATAGTATAGTCCTTATCCACTTTTAATGTAACATACTGGAATATTGCAACTACATGTAACTATATCTTGCAAAGACATGGATGGATGTGATGCTATGCCATCTCATAAAGACCAATCAGATCATTTAAGTGTATAGTTTGTGATAGTGAATTATTTATTACTGAGATTTGGATTTATGATTTGGAGTTACCAATCTAGTCTCCAATGTATTTTCTTACCCATTTATACTTATTTTTCCTATTAGTAATACAGTGGCAGCAATGTTTAACCAGAAATGACACTGACTTTGAAAATATTATATTGGAGAGGGGAGAAACTATCCAAAACCGTCTGTTTACTACTTTACCTCTTTTCTCTTATGCTACCTAAAGTAGATTCATTTGCTTTGTTGAATGTCACTGTAAGAGTTATTTAAATTGTGATTATATATAAAACTATATGATTGCTACATATTCGCTATCTACAGATCTTGGGTGAACATTTCTTGTTAAAAATTTATTTGGTTATTTACATGAAGGATGTTTGCCTTTGGAGTAAAAGCAAGATATCGCCTCCTATTCTAATTTTTGCTCCTTGCTCTTTAACCGCTTTAAATTTGTATAGCAGTACAAAAATATTCCAGATTTTTTATGTTTTTTTCACATAAAACTAAAAAACATGTATTGCTGATTTCAGAAGGGCCGGGGAATTAAAAATACACAAAGTTGTGCATTGTTATTGTTGAAAAGTAGATATTCTTTGTATCATTCTTTGCTGTTTAACGTGATTTTATTTGTTAAGTATTTAACTGCAAGATACTAATTGTAGTGAACTGTTCTACTGATATAGTATTTTATTGATACGTTGACTTCATAGAAATCAGTGAATTACAATGTTATGCCTGCAACCTTTAAGAATGTATCCTCAGAAGTAAGTTCAATAATATCTCAGACCCAATATATTGTTTAAAACCCTGGGGTTCTAACTAAAACAACAGACCACTTATTTTGCCTTTCCATGTAATAGTTCTCTGATCAATATTCTTCTCAATTCCATCCCTGCAGCAAAACCACAAAATGAACACTTTTAGAACTGTTAGTTTACTTCTATTTGAAAGAGATCCAAACTGCAGAAGGAACTTGTATCCATCAAAATATATATATCCATTCAGACAAATGAAATTAGACACAGTAGCCTAAAGCCAATTTTTAAGTATAATTCGTATTCTAAAGCACTATATGATCTCACAGATGGCTTTGTCAGATGCATTTTGTCCAGCAGATCTTAATTTGTTTGGACACATGAGCCATTGGGCTTGAAATCAGCCGAAGTACAACAGATTATTAGAGTAAGGAACTCTACTGCTCAGAGAACTTTGCCAATTGCATCAGAGACAAGCAGCCAGGCATAAAACAGATCATGATAAATTTTTAAGGACCACCCTCTAAATTTTAGTCACAAGAGACTGTGAGATAATGTGCAAAGCTTTTTGGAATATGCATTATTAAAACAGGTCTGTCTAGCTCTGAGACACATAAGATTCTCACCCAAAAATGCTTCATTAAACTAAAATTTCCTTCCTTGATACAGTAGATATATGTTATGATTTAAGAATTTAAAAGGAAATGTAAATAATTTTTATGATTTTAAATCATGTTAAAAAAGGAACATCAGCAAAATTAACAAGCCACCCACGAATAACTATGACTCTTCTTATAGTGTTAATGTAAGTATTTTGAATTTCTATTGCACAAAAATAAGTAGTTTTATTGCAATTCTCCTTAGGATAGCTCACAATGATTAATACCAGGTTTTTTATATGAGTCTATTAAAAACATGAGAGAAATAACCATTTGGACCTTGCAAAGTCCAAAACTGTCAGTTTAAAAATGTTTATAGTATAAACATTTTGAGTAACTTGTACAGCATCTCCTTTACTCTTTACAGAATTAAATATAAATGCAATGCATTTCAAAGGATGCTCATTTGAAAATTGGAGATACACTAGTATTGGCATTATTTTGGGGATGGTTTCTGGGTTCTGTAGAGGCTTTCAAAAGCAACATGAAATTCTGGGGCTAAGATTTGGCACCTCTAAATTAGACTTATGGCATAAATCTAATAAAAATACTCTGATATTATCATAACTAATTTCCAGTACTTAAACAATTTTGCAAAGATTAAGATAATCATTTCTACAAATTGTTGCTGTAAGAACATAATTATTTAAACTTGTTTCTCAACAATTAAATCTTCAATTAGTGAAATGATCCATCTTCGTCAGAAAGATGGCATCCTGACATTAATTCTTCTAGACAAGTAAAATATTGTGTACACAAAAGAAAAGGTGACTTTTTCAGTAATAAAACTAACCAAGTATTCTTCCAATTTTAATTATATGACTTATGTGTTTTCTTGTCTTACTGCTATTTCCATGTTATCCTTTGAATATTTATTTGTGGATATCTGTGTGTAAGTGTGTGTGGCAACAAACACAGCCTTCTTTAGTACACTTATGATGTGCAATGAAGGCAAAACTAGAGCTTGTGCCAGCCTGACCTAACAATGTGAAGCTCTAATTCCTTTCTCAAAGTCTGCCTCATTTCCTAGAAATCTAGAATCAAAGAAACAACAGCCTATTTTATTATTAAGGTATATCCCTATCAATTCCAAGCATTTGAACAAATGATTTAAACAAATGATTTTGGTTTCTAAAAAAGAATTATATACATGGCATAGATTGTGCTTTGATATCTACTAGATGTTAGGAGAGGTAGAGAAACACACTGCATAAGCAGAAATTCATTTGTGTAGCACAGAATGCATTTCATTTAACATCAGATAGCAATTTGTGTTCTCCTTTTTAATGCAACAGTTCATTTCCAGATTGTTTGAGTTTACACATGAATTTTTACCTGGATGAATGAAGCTTGAAGCATCAATACTACATCTTGCCCTTCTGAAGACCTCCAGAAGGTCATCCAGAAATGGTATGACGCACTGGAAGGAATTGGTCTGTAATGGGGAGGGCTCTTTATTCATGTTTTGAGAAGGATAAAAGATGGAAGTGTGGGAAGCTTTGAAGAGCCAAACCACTCATATTTCCATACCTGAAAACTGCTCAGAATGCTTCAGAAATTAAAATACAGAATTTGGTTGTTTTGCTTCCATATTTTAATGATACAACATAGCAATGCTGGTGGCTTCAAATGGAGGACTCTAGGATCTTACTGAATCTTAGCAACTTTAAGATGTATGCACATCAACTCTCATGTTGGCTGGAGAATTTTGGATTCCATAGATTTTAACATTTGCCAAGGTTCAGAAATACTGATATAAACCATTGAATATGGGTTGCTCATCTCTGATCTAGACAAATTTATGGACCACCAGAAACTAACTAAAGTGAATTCTAGGACCAGTGAAATGTATACCATATTTTAATTAATTAGTACCATACAACCCTTTAATTCTTACCAAGTTCTACATCCTGATCATCAGTAAGAACAAGAATGATGTTTGGGCGGATATTCCGCCGGTCCCTTTGAAATCTTCCCTTCAGACGCTGATTCAACAGGAAGGCTGAACTGTCATCCAACAAGTATAAGAGAGTCATTATGAATAATCCCATGGCAATATTACGCTGTGCCATATTGTTCTGATTTTGCATGCTCTTCGAGCAAAGTTGAGGGAGTATTTTCTGGTTCTTCTTCAAACGCTGATCTAAGAGGGAGCAAAAATTTTTTAAAAATGTAAAAAAATATGCAATAAAAATATAGACATATTTTCCAAACCATTAATTTTAAATACAACAAAATTGTATTAAATTTTAATTAAATTAAAAATAGATTTTCCTTTAAATGGGAAAACTATGCATCCCTTCAGATTCAATTCCAAAACAGAATTTTAGAGTACAGCAGAATATACAAAGAGCACTTATCTGCAGTTCTATAAAAAGACACATTTTTTTGTGCAGCTATCCTCCATAATTATCCTATGATCCCGAGAAAAGATGTGGCTACTTTAAATGGGTGCATTTGCTACACTTGCAACACTGCATACTCTGAGGCATCTTTCTGAAGCTGAGTATTCACAAGCGTTGTGAAAGCACATTATATGGCAATCATAGCAATTAGCAGAAGATGTGCATGCCTATAAAATCTGAATGAACATATACAAAATAGCCATCCATAGCCTTCATTTCCAATATACTTCCACTAAATCACTTTGAATTGAAGATAGTTATCTCTCTTTTACATTTTAGACGGTAACCAGAAGAAACAACTTATTATTTACAACAGTTGGAATAGGTAATAGTTGATAGATAGATAAACACACAGACAGACTTCAAATTATTGTTAACTTGGTTAACTGCCTGGAGAAGTCCCTGCCATTTTCTTGGCAAGATTTTCAGAAGTGGTTTGCCATTTTCTTCCTAGGGCTAATAAAGGAAGACTGGTTCAAGGTCACCAAGGTGACTTTGTGCTTAAAGCAAGACTAAGATTAAAGGCTTCTGGTTTTTAGTCTACTAAGTTCCTTAACAACTACATCAAACTGGCTCTCCTTTCATAACTTACCTTAACCACAAAAAACAAAACAAAACAAAATGAAAACCCATAAATAAGATTGGATTGGTATTAAAATTAGAAAAGGACACTCCAGAACAGATTTTTAACATTTATTTATTTATTTATTTATTTTAGTCATTAAATAAAGAAACAATCTGTTGAGGGGGTTTACAGGTAAAGGTAAAAAGATGTTAGTCCATCTTTCTGGGTTTTTTTCCCCTTAACAATCCTTTTTATACTATGGCAATATACAGAAACTATAGAATTAACATTTTAAGGCAGTGGTTCTCAACTGTGGATCGGGACCCCATTTAGGATCGAACGACCATTTCACGGGGGTCGCCAAACAACGCAGTCCGCCATTTTTTCCCCCTTTTCCTTAGCTGTGCTACTCCCTTTTATTCTATTGGCTTTTGAAAGCCAATAGAATAGACTCTCTTGAATAGAGTCTAATTCTATTGGCTTTCAAAAGCCAATAGGAATTGTCCAGGCTGTCTCTGCCCTGCTGAGCCCGCCAAAAGTCGCATTCTGCAAACGGTGCTGCACCAGTTGAGTAGTCCTCGACTTACGACCGGTTGAGTAGTCCTCGATTTACAACCGGTTGGGGATCGCGGCATTAAAAAGGTTGAGAACCACTGTTTTAGGGCAAGGTAGCAATAAGCTTAAATTAATTTTATCAGGTAATCGAAATGGTAACTTTCCTCAGAAATTTAACTGCAGTAATTCTCTCAAAGCAATGAAAAAATGTATGCTTACTGACATCACAACTGAATTTCTTTCCATGTGTCTGACAAATGCAGGATTAATTTAGAAGAGTGCTATAATTAATTCTGAACTTTCTAAACTTTTTGGCTGTGTAGGTAGATATTCAGTGTTATGTCAACAAGATTGGGTTATTATTTTAACTCAGTGAGTTTGTTTTAAAAAGAGAAAAACAGGCAGGTTGCTGGACTTGTTTTAAAAAGGGAAAACAGAGAACCCGTTCTTAAAAAAAACCATAAGCTGCCATACAGATTTTTATTTGATATAAATCAACAGTCAACAGCTTTTCTTGTCCAGAATTTAGTAGAACTGTCATATTCTTATTTGATTATTCACTGAATTTAGTATCCCCAAGAAATACAATTTGCAAAGGTGCACAGCTCAAAATTCTCTAAGCACCTTTTAATATTTTATTAAAAATCACCATCACCAGCAAAGCACTAAACTACAAATTTTATACTAATTTTTATAAACCATGATTTCATTTCATATTATGCAACTTTATCACAACCATGTTGATCAAACTTCTGTGCTGCCAATTTCATTTCTCATGGCATCTTATAATTATTAAAATATCCACAGTACAGTATCTCTCTCTCTCCCACTCTCTTTCTCCCACACACACACACACATACACATCTTATCTCATAAAAGTGTGGAATCTTCCAAGTAAATATATCTATAGATTTTACTTTTACTTCCCAGTAAATATATCTATACATTTGTGCACGGCTTTTTTTTTTTTGTCATAGAACGCCCAGAACGGAGTTCTGGCACCTTTTTTTGGATGGAACCTTGTAGGGTAGGCAAGGCGGGTTGTATAACGTGTGTGAGTTCTGGCACCTTTTTTTTTTTTAACAAAAAAAGCACTGCATTTGTGCCAAAATTCACTTTGCTCAGATAAACCTTAAGTTAAAAAGTTCTTAAGCTGTGGCAAACTACAGGCTTAAAAGAAAAAGATCAAGTTTTGCTACAACTAAAGATAGAAAACCAGGAAAACTATAATAGTGAACCTGCATGTATATTAGCTGAGCATTGGTGTAAGAAAAATAATCCTCAAATGCATTTACTAGAGTCATCAAACCGGAAGAGGCTATTGAAGCTAGCTGCCTATTCTGTGCACGAATCCAAATCAAACTTTGATAGACAGCTGAGCACCTCTTGAGAATATCTTCTAAACCCACTACAGTTTTCAGTAATTAATTCCATTGTTAAACTGTTTTTATCCTTAAGAAATTACTGCTAGCATTTCACCAACTCTTCCTCCTATAACTTAAAATTTATTATTGTGTATCCTAGGATAGAAAAAATGATATAGCTTTCTTTTGTTCAATATTTTTTCAGATATATCAAGGCAACCTTCCAAGAATCTCTCTTTTCTTTCACCAATATTTAAGTTTGTAGTCCCAGATCTTGTCTGAATCTGATTTTGACCAGACCCTTTTAAAAATGTGAGGCTTAGAACTGGACAAAATCCTCAAGATGCCATCTGACTACTAAAAAATAAATAATTAGAAACTATAACTTCTGTTGAATACTGTATTGTTCAACTGCTGCTAAGCATTCTTTTTCAACCTGTTTGGCACCTCATTGTCAAGTAATCCACCTCAAATTTAACTAGGTTGCTAATTAGAACATCATTAGATAATGTGGCAATTCCTTTGCAGAAATCACAGTAATTTATGCTTACTGAAATCCTGACCTAATTAAGGAGGTTTGCTGGATTTTCTTTGCTGGTCTTTAGGACAATAATAACAATTTGTTCTTCACTCATCTGATACTTTTATTCTCCAGGATTTCACAATGTCAACAAAGTATAGCAGCAAAATCCCAGTACTCTGGGATGAAATTCATTCAAAGACAAAAGAAAATAGGATTTGAGTAGTTCTAGTTTCTCTTGCTATTGTTAAGTGTTAATATTTACAATTGTAATTATGTACTTGCTGTACTAATTTTTTTTTCTTCTTTTTACTTTGAACTTATCTGAAGAAGCCCTGGGATTTTTTTTTTTTTATCTTAACATGTTTCATTAGCCTGAGTTCATTCTGACCTTTAGCTGTTCTCATCTCTTCTCTGTAATTAAGAACAGTCTTTTTCTTGGTGATGTGATGTCCTTCCACTTCTTACTTAGGTTTTGTTTCCTTCCTTGATTCTCACTAAGTTTTTGTGCAACTATATTACCTTGTTTTGGGGTCATTTCTTTCTTTTTCCTCCTTGCAATTCTGCTTTCAGTATCTTTTTCAGGAACAGCCATACATTTTGAGCTCTTTTTTTTCTTATTTAGTTACTTCTGTTATGGAATCATTTGTCTTGTTTTATTTATTTAAAAAAGAACACTTAAGACTCCAAAATATATGTTCCATTATATTTATCTTTAGTTTTCTTTAACTTTAAATAATCCAGGATTATGTGGTCAGTGTTGGGCTCTTGGGCAGTTGCTTAAACGGAAAGTAATTGTTTTCTAAACATCAATCTCACAGAGTCCTCTTTAGTAAAAATTATTGCAGCAGATGGAATTCTTAGTATATCATGGAACAGGCTTTCTGATTTTATTTCTAACATCTTTCCTTAAATCAATGCAGTCAATTTTTTTAACTGATAACAAGGACATTTTCAGCTGGCTTGATATGTAACACTCTCATATCTCTAACAAATGTGAGAACTACAGGTAGTCCTCGACTTACAACCCTTCATTTAGTGACCAGGGTTACAATGGCACTGAAAAAATGACTTATGACTGTTTTTCATGCTTATGACTATTGTAGCATCTCCACTTTCACGTGATCAAAATTTGAATGCCTGGCAACTGGTTCGTATTGATGACAGTTGCAGTGTTCCAGGGTCACCTGATCACCTTCTGCAACCTTCTGACAAGCAAAGCCAGATTCACTTAAAAACCGGTTCCTAACTTAAAATGGAAGCGATCCACTTAACAACTGTGGCAAGAAACGTCATAACATGGGGCAAAACTCAATTAACAACTGTCTAGCTTAGCAACAGAGGTTTTGGGGTCAATTGTGATCATAGGCCAAGGACTACCTATAACTCTTACAGTTCCTTTCTTTGAAAGACAAGCTGATAGCTTTCTTTGGATCTTTTGCTGGTAACTGGACTGATGATGTTACTTACTTGACTTGCTTATTATAAAGAAATGGGATGAAGAATTTTGTATCTGTCAGGAGGTGCTGAGATTAGGGAATCGTATATACCTGAGGTGAGGAGTTGTTCTTAGTGGGTGAGAGTTTCTTCCCTTAATACATTTATCTGTTTTCATATTTTTTCTTCTTCTAATATGATTATCTTTCACTATTTTATTTAAAACTTTAAATAAAATTAATTGAAAAAAGATAAGCTGGTAGTCAATAGTTCTTGATCTAGAGTTGATAAGTTATG